AGAATCTACAACAATGGAAATTATATTAATAATAGGCAGCTAGGAGTAAATAAATGAGAATGTAAAAACTCTAACAGAATAGATATAAATACACTCCAAAGAGAATTTATAATAATAATAATAATGATAACAATAATGATAATGATAATAATAATAATAATAATTATTATTATTATTATTATCATTATTATTATCGTTATTATAATAACAATAAAGATAATAATAATAAAAAATAATAATAAATTAACACAGGAAAAAGATCATTCAAATAACATTAAACTCCATAAATGAAACTAAATATCAAGCAAATAAATGCTTTTAATTTAAACAAATCATGTAGAGAGAAAGCAAAACAATTTCAAAAGCTTCTCCTCTGCCAAACTCTACATAAAAGTTAAAATAGATTAATAGATAAACGGCCGGTTTGTTGAATTTATGCGAGGCCCGACCCAATGAATATTCCTTGTGCGGACATGCATATGCACAAAAATAAATATCTATTAGTCTTGGCATGCGCATCTAACGGATAGATAGATAGATATTTGTATATCTATGAGATAAATAGATATGCATCTATTTCTGTGTTTACGTATGTCCGTATAATGAGTATCCATTGCGTCGGGCCTCGCACAATTTTAACAAACTGGCCGAAAGATACATTAAATAGACAAAGACATAAAAGATCAAGTTAGAGAAAAGAAAGAAAAGCAAAACGAACAAATCAAAATGAACAGTAGAGAAAAAAGAAGCCGATTCAAAGTGCTTCCCCCTTTCCCCACTTCACCCCTTCCCCCTTCCCCCTCCCCCCATTTCTCACGTGCCCCTTCATAGCAGAACATCGAACTTAATGAGCTTAAAAGTTAAGTAACTTGGAGACCACGTGACGCCGTAGAGGGCTGCTTCGTCGGTCCGAATCCGAGTCGCGTGACCAAACCGGTTTCGGGATTGACTCGGGTGACGCCGCCTGCTCGGATGTCAGGGAGAGGGGAGGGGGTGCTGGAAGGGGGAAGGGGAGGGAGAAGGGGGAGGTGGGAAGGGGGAGGGGGAAGGGGGGGGAGGGTGGAATGCTGGAAGGGGGAAGGGGGAGGGTGGAATGCTGGAAGGGGGAAGGGAAGGGGAGGGGGATGCTGGAAGGGAGAAGGGAGTAGAGAAACGTGGGAATCCTGAGGTATTTTGTCTTCCTTTTTCTGTCTTTTTTATGCACGTTTTTCTTTTTGTTGTTATTTTTGCTATACATACTGTTATTGTTTTCTCTCTCTCTCTTTCTCTCTCTCTCTCTCTCTCTCTCTCTCTCTCTCTCTCTCTCTCTCTCTCCTTCTCTCTCTCTCTCTCTCTCCTCTCTCTCTCTGTCTACCTTTTGTATACGCACTTTTATTGTTCTCTCTCTCACTCTCACTTCCCCCTCTCTCTTCCCTCCCCCTCTCTCTTCTCCTGTCTCTACTCTCTCTCTTTTTCCTCTTTATTTCTCTCTCTCTCTCTCTCTCTCTCTCTTCTCTCTTCTCTCTCTCTCTCTCTCTCTCTCTCTCTCTCTCTCTCTCTCTCTCTCTTCTCTCTCTCTCTCTCTCTCTCTCTCTCTCTCTCTCTCTCTCTCTCTCTCTCTCTCTCTCTCTCTCTCTCTCTCTCTCTCTCTCTCTCTCTCTCTCTCTCTCTCTCTCTCTCTCTCTCTCTCTACCTTTCTATACTCATCTTTATGTTCTCTCTCTCTCACTTTCTCTCACTCTCACTCCCCTCCCCCCCCCTCTCTCTCTCTCTCACACACACTCTCTCTCTCTCTACCTTTTCTATACGCATCTTTATTGTTCTCTCTCTCTCCCTTTCCTCACTCTCACTCCCCCCCCCCCCTCTCTCTCTCTACCTTTTCTCTCTCTCTTTATTGTTCTCTCTCTCACTTTCTCTCTCACTCCCCTCCCCCCCCTCTCTCTCTCTCTCTACCTTTTCTATCATCTCTCTCTCACTCTCACTCCCCTTCCTCTCTTCTCTCTCTCCTCTCTCTCTCTCTCTCTCTCTCTCTCTCCTCTCTCTCTCTCTCTCTCTCTCTCTCTCTCTCTCTCTCTCTCTCTCTCTCTCTCTCTCTCTCTCTCTCTCTCTCTCTCTCTCTCTCCTCTCTCTCTCTCTCTCTCTCTCTCTACGTGTGTGCTGTGTAGTGTAGTTGTTCTAGCATTCTTGCTGACCTGCGCTCAATCCCGCGCGCTTCCAGTGGATGGTAACCCTTGCGCAAAGGGGGAAACAGTTTGCCACAGCAAAGAATATATATCGTAACAAATGGAATTGAAACACAATCTGTAAAAATCTTTTAAAAAATCATTTTCCCACTCTCCCCTTCCCTCCTTTCGTCCCTCCCTCCCTCTCGTGCCTGACCTGTAGGGATCCTTGAGTTCCTCGGTGACGAAGTTGAGGTAGTTCCAGCCCCCGTAGGCGAAGAGGCCCGAGTAGAGGGCGAGGGCCACGCCGCCCACGCTGTGCTCGCCGTCCCACGCCCGCTCCAGCTGCTCCGTGTGTCCTGGGGGAGGGGGAAAGGGGAGAGTCAGTGGCGTGCGAGGAGGGGGGGTTATGAGGAAGGGGGTTATATGAGGAGGGGGGTTATGAGGAGGGGGGAAAGGGAGAGTCAGTGGCGAGTTGCGGAGGGGGAAAGGGAGAGTTTAGTGAGGAGGAAGGGGGTGGGGGTGATGATGAGAAGGGGGGAGGAAGAGAGTCAGTGGCGAGGTAGGAGGGTGATATTGAGGTGAGGGGTGCTAAAATGAAGGGAGGGGAAAAATGGGGGGGATGAAAAGATAAAAAAAGGTCGCGAGAAAGAAGTTTTTACCGTAAAAGATCAGATAAATATTAAATGTCAGAGTTTGACCTAAAAATGATGGACTTCATCTGTCTCGGGCTTCGCACACAGCTGCTCTTTCCTCTTTCTTGACTTTCCTCCTTCTCCTCTCTCCGCTAATCCTCTTTCTCTCTTTCCTTTTCCTTTCCTTCTCTTATCTTTCCCTTTGTTCTTATCAGATTTTCACTTTTCTTTCTTCTTTTTGCTTCCCTCTGTCCTTCTTATCTCATTTCCTATTTTCTTCCTTTCACTTTTTTACCCTTTTTCCTTCTTTTCTCTTCTTTATTCCCACCATTACCTTTCCGTTTCTTTCTCCTCTCAACCCTTCCTTCTCTCCCTCCCCTCCCCCCCCCCCTTTCCATATATTACCACCCTCCCCCCGTTCCAACGATGCCAATTGGACACGAAGCCGAAGATTCTCGAAGCGCCTCGGATCACGCTTCGCTATTCTCTTCCCAAAACTACTACGTCTTATCTTTCGTTAATAAAAGGAATGATCTCTTTGTGTGTCTGTTTATCTGTTCTTATGTAGGTATGGGTGTATGCGTGTGGACGTCGTGTTTGTTTGTGTGTGTGTGTGTTATTATGTTGTGTGTGTGTGTGTGTGTGTGTGTGTGTGTGTGTGTGTGTGTGTGTGTGTGTGTGTGTGTGTGTGTGTGTGTGTGTGTGTGTGTGTGTGTGTGTGTGTGTGTGTGTGTGTGTGTGTGTGTGTGTGTGTGTGTGTGTGTGTGTGTGTGTGTGCTTGCATGTTTGTGTCAGTCTATTCAGAAACCTACTTCAATTAATCATCTCTGCAATTAAACTACAGTTATGGCGTATATTAAGGAATTATAAGTGCTCATGAGCGGGTATATATGAATAAAATCCAGTGTTTCTTGTTTTTTTTCTTCTTTTTTCAGAGCCAAATTATTTTTTTTTCTTCTCGTCTCTAATGCTCTCTTCCCCGCGTATTTCCTCTCTATCTCTCTTTCCTTTGCATCTCCCCTTCCCCCCTATTCTCTCACACTTCTCCCGTCCTCTTCTTCCTTAACCCCTTCCCCATCTCTCCTTCTTTTTCAATGTCCTCTCCCTTCCTCTTACCCCTCAAACTTATCACATTTCCCACCCCTCCCCACTCCCATAGCTCTTCCTTCCCCTCTCCTCCCATCTTCCTCTCCCTCTCCCTTAGCCCCCCTTCCCCCCACCCTCTTCTACCTCCTCTCTCATTGCCATCCTCTCCTACCCCCCCTCCCCTCTCCCTCCCTTTCTCCTCTCCCGTAACCCCTCTTCCCCCTTCCCTCTCCCCCACACCTCCCTCTTCCTTCCCCCTTATCCCCTCCCCTTTCCCCCTCCGCCTCCTTTTCCCTCCCTTTTCCCCTCCCCGCCTCCTTCTCCCTCATCCCCTCCACCCCTTCCCCCTGCCTCCCTCCCCCCATTCCCCAGCCCCTCCCCGGCGCCTTCTCTCTGATTGGCGAACTTCGGTCTCCGTCGTAATTTACCGCCGCCCAAAGTCGTCATTATTGAATGCGTTTCATTAATTTCCACTCCTCTCTCGCCCTTGATTCGGATGAGAAGGAAAACGTAGGAGAGGCTCAGGGGAGACTCTTTTGTATCTATGATCTTTGTCGTTGTGAGTCTTCCTCTTTTTTCTTTCTTTTGATTTGTATCTCCTTTCTTTCTTTCTCTGTCAGATCCCCTCTCTCTTCCTCTTTCATTCTTTTACTCTCCCTCTCCCTCTCTCTCTCCTCCTCCCTCTCCTTTCCATCTCTCCTTTCCGTTTCCTTTCTCTCTCTCTTTCCTTATCTTCTATCCTCGTCCTCGCCATCTGCCTCTCCCTCTCCTTTTCCTCTCTCTTTGTCTTTCTCCCTCTCCTTTTCTCCCTTCCTCCCTTCCTCCTTCTCCACCCTGCGCCCTCCATTCCAGGTGCTATCAATTCCCAAGCGAATGAGAGATGACTGTTGCTTCTTCACAATTGTCAAGATAAACCTTTATTTACAGGACGCCCAAGGGAAGCCAGCCGGAGTGGGGGTGGGGAGGAGGGGAGAGGGGGGAGAGAGGAAGAGAAAAAATGGTGACCTGAATGAATGAGGAAGATGGAAGGCTGAGGAGGGAAGGGCGGAGAGGGGAATGGGAGAGGGGAGCGAGAGGCGGGTGAAGATGAAGGTGAAAAATATGTCAATGAGAAGAGGAGGACAATGGCGTTTCTTCTGTTTCTTTGTCTGCGTTTCTATTCTGCTGTCTCCTCTCTCTCTCTCTCCCTTCTCTTCTTTTTCCTCTTCCTCTTCCTCTTCTTCTTCTTCTTCCTCTTCTTCTTATTATTATTCTTCCTCTTCTTCTTCTTCTTCTTCTCCTCCTCCTCTTTCTCTTCTTCTTTCTTCTTCTTCTCCTCTTCCTCTCCTCTCCATTTCCTTCCTTTTCTCCTTCTCCTTCTCCTCCTCCCTCCCCTCCCCCTCCTCCTTCTTCCCCCTCCCCCCTGCCTCTCCCTCTCCCTTTCCCTTTCCCTCGCCTCCTTCTTCATTCTCCTCTTACTAAATTGCTTCTTGTTTTTAATTCGCCGTTTGACTCCCCCCACTCCACCCCCGCGTTCCCGTCGCTGTACCCGAAGCATACTCACGCCAGCAACAGGTTTCTACTGCGCAAAGTTCGGTCTCTGTCCTCCTCCTCCTCCCTCCTCCTCCTCTCCTCTCTTTCTCTTCTCTCTCGCTCTCTTTCCTCTTCTCTCTCTCTCTCTTTCCTCTTCTCTCTCTCTCTCTCTCGCCTTTTCTCTCTTTCCTCTTTTTCTCTCCTTTCTTCTTTCTTTTCTCTTCTCTCTTTCCTCTTCTTCTTCTCTCGTCTTTCCTCTCTACTCTCTTCTCCCCTCTATCCTTTTTTTGTTTTGCTCTCTTCCCTTCTCTCCTCTTTTGTCTTCTCTCTCTCTTTTCTCTGATGAATCTGGTTGAACGTCAGATTCTTTCCAAAAGAACAACAATTCACTCAAGAAATCGGAGATAAAAAGAAAAACTTGGCGACTAGAAAATCAAAGTTTCCAAGTTCTCAATTTTCTAGATTTACTGACGCCGTTCGAGGAGCGAGGGAGTGGGGGTGGGGAGGGGGAGGGAGGAGGGAGGGGGGAGTGAGAGATGGAAGGAAGGAGGGGGAGGAGGAGTAGGGTAGGCGTGACTTATTGTCCAAATATGTATCGTAGTCCCACGGGCGTGTGTGGGCGGCGTGATGTATTGTTCTATTCGCTGCCTTTCGGTTTTTGTTTGTTGTATTTTTCTATCATGTCTTTCTGTCTGCTTTCGTTGCGGGTATTCGTGCGACTATGCGATGTTGTATGTCTGTGTGTGTCGGTGTAAATGTGCATGTCTATGTGTTTTTTATGTGTTTGTGTATATGTTTGTGTTTGTGGTAGTTTTTGTGTTTGTGACTGTGTATATGTTTGTGTTTGTGATTGTGTTTGTTTGTGTACGTGTATTTGTCTGTGTCCGTATGTAATCGAGTCTCTTAAGACTTCCCTTCACTTTAATTTTATTAATAGGGCGGATAAATTACCTTAATGGCAGAGCAGTTAATGGGTATCGTAGAATCGTTCAATCAATTAAGCAAAGTATCCGACCATGGCCTCCTGACCTCCTTCACCGATAGTGAAATCTGGCGTTCCATCACCGCAGACTTTTTCCAGACACTCCCGGTTCTTGTGAAGTCCAGTTTTTCTCTTCTATCAACCCGTCCGTTAGTCTGTCAGTCTTATCGGATATATTCAGCCAAAAACTCTTGCCTTTGATCTCATTTTCCAGTTTTTTTTTTTTTTTTTTTTTTTTTTACTTATTTTTTCCCTCTTATCTCCTCGCTCTTTGTTTCGTGTTATTGTAATACACTCTATCCATACACTCTTCTTTCCTCCTTCCCTAAATCCTACACATGTCCAGAAAATAAAGCCTAATTTACCATCTTCACACAAAAGAGTTATATCTAATATTCTGGCATAACAACATTATCTATTGCATTACTTATGATTTTGATACAATAAAGTTTATTCCTTGTTTTTAATTACTTTCCCAATTATTCGATAACAAAAGGGGCATTCGAATCGCCAGGGAGCCAATAGGATTAAATCCTTTAAATTCCTCAATCAATATACGATATAATGAGGGCGTATTCCTGCACCAGCTGCGTGCGGAAAATGGAGAGAATTTAATCTTTGGACGTCATTATCGTTGGATCGGGTGTTTTATAAACTCTCTATTGCGACCACCGAAAATATATAAAATAATAATGATAAGGTATATAGGAAACAGCAAACATGACAAGAGGAAGTTCTCCACAGCTAATATGAGTATCAAATGGGTGGAATATGCCAGAACATGACAACAGAAAGAAGTGATGATATTAGTCACATTATAATAGATAATAACGCTTATAATAAAGATCACAATAATATAACGATAGATAATAACATTAACACAATACGGGGAGAACAAAATCAAATTAATGAAGGAAGAAGTAATAATAACCGAAGATATCCGTATCGTCATAAAAGCAAAGAAAAGAGGCAGACACCATGCACAGAGAAACAAAGGAATGGGTGTGAAGTTTTAGGGATGAATAAATGAAGGAGTTCTGATGTAAACGGAGATCATGAGAAGAAAAAAGAGGCAGTTGTGATGGTCATCACAGAGTGGAGGATTCAGTATTGTTATAAAATACATTCTGATCTATCATACAAA